TAATAATGCGAGCTTTTTATAACATTTTTCGGTAGAATGGCAGTCTCCACCCTGTAACGCAGAGAGGCAGTTAAATTCCTTGATCTTCTGCCGCAGAATCATCATCATTATTAAATAGATTCAACTAATCGCTCCGATTCCAAATAAGCTACTGCACCACCATTGCTAGCTGTGGAGGGCGCCCGTAGGGCGCCCGGAGCAGCTAGTTGAATATAATTTCCTTTGCAACCTAAGCACAACAAGCTTTTATAATCAAAATTTCTACGTGCAAATTTCGAGAAAAGGTGGGGCTATGAAGCGAATTTCCCGGTATTTTTACATGCCTTATCTTGAAGGAATGTTGCAACACCCAACTGATGTTTTAGGAGGGCTCTTTTATTATTGCAAGATCTACAGATGCCATCCGCCCTCAGTTTCTTGCATTTAAATAAATGCAATCAATCAACATAAAATTCCTTTTATTCTAGATGCGGTCTTTTTTCCTGCTATTTGAAGATTAAAAGATTTGTATTATTGAACAAGATTCTTTCAATTTTTCTCATCTGTGTAGCATTGATACGACGATTCAACCAATATTTTTCTGTAAGGCCCAAATACCAAAATCCAAGTCCAGAGAAGAACCGTGCTTATTCGGCGTGCTCTCTGTCTTTTGGGTCCAAAAGTGTTTGTCTTAAAAATACCTCTTAAAACTGGGCTCAAACGATTGAACACAAGCTGAAAGGCACACTTTTCCTGTCTTTCTTGAAACTTAAATTTTGACGTTTGAGCCTTTCAGAAAAATATCGGTTCAATTTTAGTGCTGTCCTTTCTGCCCAGTACCTGAACCAGTGCCGTGATTTAATCCTTTTAAGTATTATTAGATAGTATTAATGTTTTTTGTTAGTGCCTAGACTGTCAGTTTTTAAATGGTATCAAAAAATGTTTGCAGCCCAGCCAGCTGCAATGTTTAGTTAGTTTTCAGAGGCATTGTTGATTTTTCTAGTTTTGAAAACACCTTTCTACATTAACTACCTAATTTTAATTGTTTTCTCAATATTTATTAAAGGATAGATCTTGAATTAAATTCAGCACAACCAAAGTAAGCTGGTGACAAAAAAAAAAGTACCCAAGAAGTCTGAATTGTAACATAAAAAAGCTCAAGGAAGCTATATTAGAACTTTTTCTTCTCTTTGCTACCTTAATTTCTCCTGCAATCGATTTTTTCTGCCACGTGCCTAAATTCTGCTAACAGCCACACCAGGAAACGCAGGAGACAAATTGAAAAGCCCCAATAACATACATTGGGAAAAATTTTGGCTCACTAAAATTGAGCTTATACTTATTATCTACAGAGAGATAATAATTCTTTACTGGCCAAAAGAACCAAAAATAATTCCAGTTTTTAGTTTGATTTTGTTGTTGCTCTGATTTGCTCCTGAGTTATTAACTTACTTAATTTTGAAGGTTTTCTGAATATCTATTGACCCCATTTTGTATGCACACCCATAGAGAGGCAGAAAATCCTCCCTCTGAATGAATCAATTTGGTAAATTTAATATTGCTTTAAAAAAAATTATTATATCATCGGCTCCACCATGTATTTCAACGGCATTATTGTAAAGCCTTTGATGTCTACCCTGCAATGCACCGTGAAGATGTTTGCTTTTTTAAGTCTTCTGTAACGTTCCTTTTGTATTCCTTGTATGAACCGTATTATCAAACATGGGATAAAAAAGCAGAAGGTACTGTCATCAAAATAGAGAATTGTAAATGTTTGAATGTTCGCATAGAAATAAAGAAAATTTCAAAAAAAAAAATTGTAGAATTTGGATTTTTAAATGACGCAATACAGAGATAGCTCCTTGATTATTTTTTCATTCTATGATAAGATTCCAATTAAGTTGACAATCAGTGCAAAAAACTCTTGGAGTAACTTTCTAAATGATCAAATGAGTTTGCACCAGGAGGTAAACCCCCTGGTATTACTGGTAGCAATCATTGTTCAGTAAAATCGAAATGCCTCTCGGCACCTCTTTTAAAGGGAGAACTCTCATGTTTTTGCTCCCAGCCTAAAATTTGATCGAGTGCTGTTTATAATTAATTTCATCGCCGATAAAGGGGAAGGTAGGGGTCCATTGCACGTACTTCATGACTTAAATTTGAGCAATTGGAACTATCGTTCAATTTTTTTACGATCATATGAGTAAAGTAAAAATATTCACAAAAATTACCTTGCATTTATTGCATGCAGAAGATGCGTTTCTGTGTGGCAAAGCATGAAATAACTTTTTACAGAGAGCTCCGACCTATGCATGTACCACCTGTCGATTTTTTTCGATTTGGGACAGGACAAAAAATTCAGAAATTAGTGTCGAATCCTAAAAAGTTTAAGGTGTAAAATCGATTGCGCCTGGTCCCGAGATTTGCCGGAACTTCCTGAGCTGAGAAACGAGCGTTTTCGCGTGCTTTTGACTGTTATCGACCGCTTTCGAGGATTCAACACATTCGCATTTTTTATACGCATCTTTCGGTTTTTTTATTTTTTTGGTTTTTTTTTAAAAAAAAAATCAATAAGATATGAACCTAAAATTTTCAGGAAAAAACACCCACACTAGGATTTGAATAGTATGCAGAGAGTGGACTTATTCCAAGCATAGTTCAATAATAGAAGGAACTGAACATTTATTTAAAAAAAACTTTACTAAATTATATACAAAATAAAAAACAAATTACTTCCTAAAAAAATAAATAGACAAACACATCAGAGTGGAAAAAATTATTACAGTCACAGGCGTTTGGCACAATTGCTTTTAAATTATGTTCTAAAAGGTAGGTGTTTAATGATTATAAAACCATTCTGGAATCTAGAATGCACTATGAGAAGAAAAACACATATAAGAAACACGGGATATTTCATGGAATTTTTAGGAGTCGGAGACGCCTTTTTGGAGCCAAAGAATTCATGCATACCTTCATGTTATGGAATTCTGAAGCAGAAAAAAATTGAAGTGGCAAAGTATTTTTCAAGAATTTGCAAAATCCGAAAGGCGAGGTTATTGTTGGAAGGTACAGTTTTTTAAACCAATAAAACCGAGTACACATCATACAGGCAACAAAATAACTCTCCAAAAAATTAAAAGACATTTTCATGGGAAAAATATTGAGGAGGAAGGTACATTCGGTAGACAATAAAAAAAACTACTTTTAGAAATTACCTGGAAATCTTCAGAGGAATAATGCATTTCTTAGAATTTTGGGATTCCTTCAAAACCAGCCTCAAACACTCCATTTGTTAGGTCAAAAATTGGCGCAGCTACATTCACTTAAGTTGCACCTAATGAAGAAAATATGATTTATAATTTTGCACTTTTTACAAAATACATGAAAAAAATGAGATACTTTATGAGGTTACCTCAGCATGAATATTTATAAATGAGTATATAGATATTTCACGGAAACGAAATTTCCTTAGAAAAATGTAAAAAGAGGACAAAGGAGGGAGGAAACAGGTCAAAAATCCAAGGGATCGTACGAAGAAAATGAGCAAAAAATACTTACAAAAAGAATGTGCAGGGAAAATCATTTACTTCAGAGAGTTGCTTTCTGGGCATGCTGAATGAAAAATCTCAGAGGGCTCCATGCAAAAGTTTACAGTTTCTGCAGTAAGCAATCCACATTCTTTTGAAAATCTTTGGCACTAGGTTGTGATGAGGTAAACTAAAAATAAAAAAAAAAAAAAAAAAACNNNAAAAAAAAAAAAAAAAAAAAAAAAAAAACAGAATTATTTTTAAAATTCTCCTACTTCAAGACTAGGCTTGAGGACTTTGGAGTAGAAGAAAGTTAAAACTCACATTTCAAAGTTTTAGAAAGTTTTTCATACTTATGAGCATATTACCAAAAGTTTTAAATAAATAAATGATAAATTTAAGGTAAAAATATTTCGAACCAAATTGAAGTTTAAACAAGTTGGTTTTTGCAATCGCTAGCGATAGCAATATTCGTCATGGGAACTTTTGCTTCTGGGATATGAAAATGTTAAGGTACAGTTCGTTTGTAGTATCTTCAGAATTGAAGGGGCTATGTAATTTTGTGTCGACATCTCTTTTTTAACATTTTTAATTTTTTTTCTTTGCATACAAGAAAGCTGTTATT